ATCTTTGATATTGTCTTTGGATCTAAAAGTGATCTGAGGTCTATTTCATAGATCCCCCAATAAATATTAGAATAAAGTAAATAAAATATTAGAATAAAGACAGCTGGGTTTTTAACTTAGTGGCAGACCAGTGTCCAACATGTATAGAGCCCTGAGTTCAATTTTCAGCATTATCTTTTAAAATAATAGAATGGAAGCAAAGATGTGAAACATAGAGACTAAACTTCAATTGATCTCTAGGCTTTCTCTAAGTACATGTGAAAGATGTGAGGTCTAATCTGCTGGATCATGACAGGCCATGTTGAACAGCCCATGGTCAGCATCAACTTCTAGACACAGCAGTGGAGCCATCTTGGACTACATCACTTCTAGACATTTGTACTTCCTGCTTTACCCAAAGCATATAGAAGAACCTTCCAGCTAACCAGAGTCAGAAGCAAGTTAAAGAATTGTGTTAAATCACAAAGTTTAGAGAAGAGCATTATTGTGTAAGAATTAGTAACTTCCAGGCACTGGTGATTCATGCCTATAATTCTAGCTTCTCAGGAGGCTAAGATCTGATAACTGTGTTCAAAGCCAGCCCAGGCAAGAAAGTTCCTTATCTCTAGTTAATGACCACAAAAAAAGCCAGAGGTGGACTTGTGGCTCACGAGTGCTAGCCTTAGCAAAAGAAGTTCCGGTTAGGCCCTGATTTCAAGTCCTATGTCCAGTGCACATGCATGTGTGCAAACAACAACAACTAAGTACCCTCTTGCACACTTGCATATTTCTAATGTGACATCTGTAATTTTACACTGGAAGTTTAAAGCTCGTTTGAAGTTCAAGCATATAGAATTTCTGACATTTTGGAAGTGCAGACATTTTGAAGTGAAGCAACTTCTTAATTCCTTTACATTTATTGCAATTTAATAAATTACAATTTGATATCATCATAATCCCTTTATAAAATATACCCAAGAAACTTGAATTAAATGGAAGGTAATTCTATATCAGACTTCTCCCAAACGTTGTATTTCCATTCAACTTCTAGTGAATCACTTGTTCTAATGTAGTATATTCCTATATTAAATGCCTTTATAACACTAACAAACACATGTGTATCAAAAAACGTGTATGAAATAGGCTTATTTTTTATTTTATGTCACTGGGATGCTCTAACACTTTAATAAGACTATTCCCCATAACGTAAGTCCTCAGCACCACATAAGCAGAAAAAGCCAGAAGTGGAGCTGTGGCTCAAGTGGTAGAGCACTAGCCTTGAGCTGAAGAGCTGAGGGACAGCGCCCAGGCCCAGAGTTCAGGCCCTATGCTCGACAAAAAAAAAAAAAGAAAAGAAAAGAAAAAGAAAGAAATGTTCAAAAATATGTTCTTGTAAAAGATAAAATATCTCTATATCACAATACATGGCTTTTGCACAATGACACACTTGTTAAGTGTTGAGTGTTGGATTTTCTTTTATTATTATTATTATTTTTGTGAAAATACTATACAGAGGGTTACAATTACATGGGCAAGATAGTGAGTGCATTTCTTATCAAGCATTGTTGCCTCCTCCTTTGTTTCCCCTTCCCATCCCTTCCCCCCTCCACCCCCCAGCTCCCACCCACCAAAGTTGTAAAGTTCGTTTCTGACATAACATCTTGTACATCTCATTGTTGCAATGGGTCCACCTGTATCCCTATTTAAGCAGCTTGTTTTTATCTTTCCCCTCCGCAAATTATACCGACATCAAATACAATGAAAGCAGGGCTTGCGTTGAATTTTCTTTAGTACTTGGTGATTGGGACAATTCTTATTATAAGAACTGAAAGTGGGCTGGGGGTTTAGCCCAGCGGAAGGGCACCTGCCCTGCGCGCGCAAGGCCCTGGGTTCGGTCCTCAGCCCTGGAAAAAAAAAGAAAGAAAGAACTGAAAGTTCCTGTACTAGTAATAGAATAATGTGCCATTCTCCAGGCTCTTGAATAACACAGAGGTTCCATTACATGTTTAGGGAGGCTTGTTTATATGCTGTGGTTATGGCATCACATGCCAAATTAATGCATGTCTCTTATTTTAGAAAGACACTATTATAGACTGTTCTTGGGTTTTGCTGTAAGCAATTGGTGCACACTCCTCAACTTCCTCCTGTTGCTCCATCGTTTGGAGGGTGTTTGCCATAGACACAGGTTCCAAGATCCTGCACCATATCATCTTCATTCCAGCTGTCAAGAAGGGAAAAGAAAAAAAGACAATAGTCCCTCCTTTTAAGTGATTAGCTTTGAAGTTGCCTACATACCTTAAGCCAACAGCACTTCATAGAGAAACTTAGTCTTAACATCACAGTACCACAGGGGGTGTTAACTGTTAGAAGGAAAGTTCATGTTAATTTCTATTCTACTTAAACCCTATATGCTTTGTTGGCTAATAATAAGATAGGGATTCTCAGTTGAACCAGCTACATTCTGTGTCATGCTCATTGCTAAATCTTTTTTTTTTAATGTTTTTTTTTGTCAAGGTGATGTACAGAGGGATTACAGTTACATAAGTAAGGTAACAAGTATATTTCTAGTCAAATTTGTTACCCCTTCCCTCATTTTTCTCCCACTTTCCCTCCCCCACCCCGACCCCTCCAGGTTGTACAGGTCGTTCCCAACATACTGTCTTGTATATATCACTGTTGCATTGATTCCGCCCTGTCCTTTGTTTCACTATTCTTTTGTTCCCCTTCCCTTCCTTAATTCAAATAAATGTATATACAATACCAGGGTACCAGAATCAAGTACAGTGACAACAGGGGATCTACCATAGGGAAAAGAACATACAAAAGAAACAAAAAAATCATATCGTACATTAAAAAGACCAACAACAAAGAAAACCTCTTGTGTCCCTGTCTTGGTGTCCGTTTTGCTTCGCATCAGCTGGGATGCACATTATCTTCTTCTCCCTGAGAACACGTGTTGGCTCCATTGGTTTCATTTTGTTCCCAAGCATCAGGTTTTCACTGTTTTCTGGGAGACTTTCAAATTCTTCCCTCACCTTCTTCCTCTTTCCACATATTTTCCATGCTCATGGTATCAGCATCAGACTTTCTCAACCTGGGCACTATTAGCATGTTGAACTTTGTTGGGGGCTTATTAGCCACATTTTCCATTAAATACCAGTGATACTCACTCTTTCTTACTTGTGAAAATTAAACAAGAACAGCACTGATTGCCTAATGCCACTTGGCTGGGAACTTTCCCTATTTTGAGAAACATGTATTCTTTTAGAGCTTTTTTTGTGACACTAGAATCCCTTAAGCTAAAGTCAGTAAACAAATTTCTTAAGATATTTTTGCAACCTATACACTACTAGCATAGCGTGACTATTGTCTGTTTACCATTGAATACACAATAGTTAATATAGTATATAGAACATAATAATTATTAATTTTTTGAAAAGTGCATAATTTCTAGGCGTATAAAATTTACACTTATTATAACATTTCTCTTGAAGGACTATTTAGGAAAGTCCATCTCCTTGGCCTAAATATTTTCACTTGAGATAACTCAAAAACTTTTGAGTGCTAAGTTTTACCCATGTTTCCAGATTAGCACTCTACAACTGAGCCACACCTCTGGCCTATTATGCCACACCTCCAACCTAAGCTTACGTCTAAAGACCCAAATAGCCCAGCCAAGGTTCATGAAGTTTGCAATGAGAGAAGAAACAGCTGCCAACTGGATCTTCCCCAATGCAGAGAATTCAATCATCTCTTTTCTTTGTTTCCACAGGGTCCATCACGACATTAACAGAGAAGCTCACCATTCTCCATGATGTCTTAGGAGCTAGGCATGTGGGAAGGATGCTAGACTAACCAGAGGCACATTGTGAAGCAATCTCCAGGGGCTAGATATTATTGCATACTACTACTTCTGTTTTCTCTAGGCCAAGTTTGCTCATTTCAAATTTATTTTCAATTATCCATGGCTACACTTTATTGCGGTCTAGTATGCATAATGTTAATAAGTATCACATATATACACGTATATACACACAAGCCATCCCCAATGAAGAAACAGAACAAGTCCACACTTGAAATATCTCCTCCCGCCTCACCTATCAACCAATCTATTGCACTGTGAGATAAACAGCTCTTCTGACATCTATCATCATCTGATTACTTTTGTTCCTTCTATCATCATCTGATTACTTTTGTTTCTTCCTAAATTTATATATTAGAATCATACATGTGCTTATCCCTTTCCCTAGAAATAATGAAGGAACTTGAATATATTTTTGTATGTAATAATAGCTAATTTAAAATTATATGTGTGCAGTTTTGTTTATATAGTATGCTCATACATTGTATAAATATACCCAAACATACTTATCTGTTGTCATTATTTGATTTATCATTTATGGATAAAGGCATAGGGATATTCTTGTGCATGTCTTTTAGGGCATATATGCTAGTCTGTTTGCAATACCTCAAAGAGTAGAGTTGCTAGATCACATGACAGGCATATACACAGCAATAATAAAAACTGCCAAACCATCAGTGATACATGAGAATTCCCTCACCAGCCCTTCAATATTTTAATTTTAGCCTGTCAGGAGTAATTTTGATCTGACAAGTTTGATGCATGTCTAGACAATTAATGATACTGACATAAGCATTTTCTCCAGAGAACAAAACTGTTTGCCTTGATTGCTTCATTTGCATGACATTAGTTTTGATTACTTAGATGAATTTGTTTGAAAACTTTTAAGTATTCTAATGCCATTTTTAGGGGAAAAAACTAAAGCCTACTTTAGGGTAGGCCCTCCTTTGACATACGTTAGATTTAGTTGGATAGCTTTTCAATTCAGTAGGTAAAAAAATGCTTTAAAAAAGTTCTACAAGGAGGAATAAGGAGTTTCTTTCTGAGATTAAAGGAAATATTTGAAGGAACTCCTCCTTAAATTCTTTAACTACAAAACTAAATTGCTCACAGTACACCAAACCCCCTCAAATGATCATCTTTCTATATTGTTCTGTAGGAGCTTGGTAAGTGTACTGGAAGTTAGCGATTTATTTAGCTGTGTGACTCTTTTCTTCCTAAAAGAAGCTGTAGGATTGAGTAGTACAGAGCACTTGATTCAACATGGGTCAAGGCTGCCATGGAAACCTGGATGATCCAGGGAGAACCAACCAGCAGGGGCAGGGGAGGAGGAGAGGGAAAATGGTCACTTAGATTTAAAAGAAGTCCATGGAAGCTTCATCTACTTTACAACTCCATCACAAACTGGTCTTGAACTCTGGAGGAATGGTATGTGAGGAACGATGTCCAAAGTAGATGGAAGAGAGTATTAAGTAACCTTATCAATTTGCTTGTCTAGGCTGAGAAGCAGTAATACCTCTTGGGCGGATTGGTTTTCTAATTTCTGATGTAATTAATGGATGATTTCTTTCTGACTTTAAGGTGGGTCTCTGTGAGGGACTGATATTTATGGACTGATTTGTTCTTTGCATGGTGCATCGGTCAAGTGAAAATATTACTCAAGGGTACAGCTATAAAGGACGAGAGTTAACATAAAACACAGTCCTGAAGTAAAATTCATGATCCTGGCAACTCAAGGATGGAGGGAAACCATGGGAAATTCACAGTGAATATTTATCTGAGCCCTCCAGAAACCAGCTGGTGAGTATCCACTATTCTACTTTGGTATATTACCCAAGTGGACCTATTTCCAAGACTGTATCCATTTCCTGATAATTTAATAGAAGGAATGTTTCTGCATTTATTACCCAAAATGTGTAATTATAAGCTGGGTGGGCATTGGTGGCTCCTACCTGTAATCATAGTTAACTGAGAGGCTGATAAGTAACTTGAGGATAATGGGCATAAAAGATTACGAGACCTTTTCTCAACCTATAGGTGGGTACAGTGGCATTGCCTGGCCTTTCCAAGCTACATGGGAGGCTGAGAAGAAGGATCACAGTTCTAGGCTGGGGGGGGCAGAAAAGTTTCTGAGACTCCACTCCCCTCATGGACCCATGTTGAGTTCCTGTGATACCAGCAATGATGGGAACCCTAAATTAAGCAGATTGCAGCTCCAGGCATACTGCTGAGTGGGAAATGAGACATGATCCAAAAAATAAACAGAGATTGCTGCAATATGGATCAAGTGCTAGAGTACCTCTCTATAAAGTCCTGAGTTCAAACTATACTCAAGGCAAAACCCCAGAAACACATCAAAGTATAGTCAAGAGTTTTTAACACGCTGATCTTTTCCCTAGCTTGTGATGAGTTTTATTTTCACCTGTTCATTTGGAGGAAATAAGAAAAATATTTTCTCAGTTAGTGAAGACACTTTTGACCAATGGAAGGAACTAACACATAGAAGCTATACCCCAAAATGAGAGAGTTATGTCCTTTTTCTCTCAAAGAAATAGCATATTTTGAATTGTAGCATTATAACTTTTAATAAATACATACAATGCAATTTGGTTATACTTAGTGATATTATTGACACATTCTGATTAAGCATAATTATCATCTCTCCATCTGTACAAAATTTAAAATCAAGTGTTAGATAAGAGACAGAACAAAAGAACAGTAAAAACTCTAATGATTTAATGTATGTATAAGGAAAAAGTAGTCTTTCGGTCAGGTCTGGCCCAGCTCGCAAGGATTACACCACTGCTTGGGACCCTGCTCATCACTGCTTTACTTAAAAGGTGCTGATTTCCTACCAGCACAAGGAAATTCAGGAAAGCAGACCAGTTCAGTGAGATTCTCTGACTGCGAAGCACACTCAATGTTTGAAGTTCATTGGCCTCAGGCATATTGCAGAATGACTAAAGACTAGGTAATAGTCTCAACCCATTTGGGGGAAAAAAGCAGAGCTGTTTATACAGGTCAATCCAGATTCCTTTCCCACTTCATGCTGACAACAATTTGCACGGCCATTGCAATGGTCACTTTCTAAGAGGATCATTAATGCTTTGTCTCAGAAATACACTCTTCTCTACTGCATGACTACGCTGCTATTTTCAATGACAGGGTCACCATGGAAATTAGTGGGCATCACAAGTAATTTACCCAGGTGGCATCTGTCTCCTCAAACACTCATCATTTCTTTATGATGAAAATGTTTGAACTCGTTTATTCCAGCTTCTGGAAGTATACATGATTATTATCTGCAGTCACGCTATCATGCAATTGCACCCCCAGAACATCTTACTTTTGTTGTTGTTGTTGTTGCTACTGCTGCTGTTGTGCCACTATTGGGGCTTGAACTTGGGGTCTAGGTGATGTCTCTTAGCTTTTTTCTCAAGGCTGGTACTCTACCACTTGAGCCATAGCTTCATTTCTGACTTTTTGGTGATTAATTGGAGATAAGAGCCTTATGGACTTTTCTACTCAGGCTGATTTTGAACTGTTATTCTTAGCCTCCTGAGTAGTTAGAATTACAGTCATGAGCCACGAGTCCTCTGCTTAGAAATAAAAGTTAATAATTGTTCCCATGAAGGAAGATACAGAATATTCACAATACCCTTGTTTATGTGCTATGCTCAGTGTCTGCCATCGAGAGAGTAGAATAATATTGCAATGTATCCAATTGATAGAATAGTATAAAACAGTGAAAGAGGGAATGGAATAGAACTAAACTCTCCCTGTGGTTCAGCATGTAAATGCCATCTGGATAAAATCTGCCCTACACTTGGGAAGAATACAGTTGAACAAGATTCAGGTGAATTTTGAAGCATATAAATTATGTGTTTGGGTAAATATTACAATGATATATTTTAAAAATACATCAAAATATGAAAAACACAGGAAATACGGCGAGCGATGGCAAATCTGGCAGGTGAGAAGCCGGCTCCGGAGCGGCGCTCTGACTGTGTGGAGCAGCAAGTTCTCTCTTAAGCCGGGTCATGGCTGTTGGCTTTTCCACCCATTCTTTCTTCGTGAGGACAGACAGGTATGTGTAATGGCTCTTAAGCAGTGGGGTAAAAGTGAAAAAAATGAGGTTATTTTTTTCATGCTTATTTCTGTTCTACGCCCTTCCCATTTTCCCCAGGATCTTCCTGCCAGTCCAGTCTTCACTGTGCTCCAATTTCCCCTTCTCCTCCCCACAAACCCATCCATGTGCATTGAGGAGCTTCAAGCTTTGGCTGTGAACTTGATCTTTCCACCTGACAAAGATGGGTTCTTAACCCCTGCTTTCACTGTATTTGATGTTGGTATCATTTGTAGAGGGGAAGGGGAAAAACAAATTGTTTAAATAGGGATACAGGTGGACCCATTGCAACAATGAGATGTACAAGTCGTTATGTCGAAAAAACGAACTTTACAACTTGAAGGGGGGGAGGTGAGAGGAGGAGCAGGGGGGATGGGAAGGGGAAACAAAGGAGGAGGCAACAATACTCGATAAGAAATGTACTCATTATCTTGCCCATGTAATTGTAACCCCTCTGTACGGAATTTTCACAATAAAAAGAAAAAGAAAAAAGAAAGAAAAACAAGAACTATTATGTGAATCCATCTTCATGATCTAAGGATTCATTGCTTCAATAAAAACTAAAGATGATTAGAAAAAAGAAAGATGGTTTCTTTTGGCCAGCTCCTCTCTAGAGCTCTTCTCCCTTCTCTTACTACTCTACTTCACTGCCTCCCCCCCCACTAGCTCATCAAAGCTGAATTCACTGAAGCCTCCTTTTGTCCTTCCTCTATCCATCTTTCCATCACTATACTAGAGTCAGAAAGGAGTTTTATGACCTGTTCCAACACCAGCTGCCCACAGGTCTGAGCTGTTACTACCCATCCTCTGTCCCAAGTGAGGTGCATTTGTACTCTGGACCCTGAGCCAGGGTATTTTAGCCCTGAACAGTGGTGCAATCCACACCACTAGCCTTTCAGGATCCACTCTAGTTAAAGATTTGAATCTGGGCCCCAAATACCGCAATGCAGTCTGTTTCTAAACATGACAAGCCTGAGTTTTCTATTTACCAGCTTCACACATCTTAAATTTTTTTTAAGGTTGCCATCCTCCTGACACCTGTATTTGCTGCAAACTTTTAAGTGGGTCTTGGAGTTCTGGACTATTCATTTGCATGCCCATTCCAAAAACTAGCATCCCAGTGGTGAGTGAACCTTGGCTCGTGGATCTAGGCATCTGCTGTTCTCTGAAGGATATGGACTGTACAGCTAATTGCCAATCCCTATGCTCTGTGAGCATCTAGACATCCGTCTGATGCTTGTTCAGAACTTGCAGGGCCACGAAGAACCATGTCTCCACCCTAGGGAGTGTTCTTTGGGGCTTACCTTCCATCACTCTCTGTCCTTCGGAGGATGTCTCATTTTAGTTGGCAGCTCCACCCTGGCCTTGCTTCCAATAAACATTTGTGTTTCCTCCCTGAATCTTAGCAAAAATCACTGACGTCTGGACGGTTCGACAGTTTTATGGTCTTTACAGTACATGATGCCCATTAGACAGTAAATAAATGTGCACTGACAGTGGGTAGAGAAGGCAGGAGACACATAGGGTGGATAAAAGGTCACAGAAAGCCCTCACGTCTCATCAGAAAAGTGGGAATAATAACACTTAATACTTGCAGGTATTTAAAAGCTTAGCCATGAGCAGTGGTACACCCACTGACCCAGGCATGAACATCTCTGTAATGTTAATGATATTTTCATCAAATCTTTTTTGTCTGATGAACCATTTGCCATAACTAAATGATGGTTAAAGCTATTCTGGTTTCATTTTTAAATTTTTAAGTAGACTTAACTTTTCAGAGTCATTTTTTGATCTATAGCAAAATGGAGTGGAAGGTATTTAAACACTGTATCTTGATATGCATCAAAGAATGTTGCTAGCAATAACTGCAGAAGGCTTCATTGTCAATATCCCCCACTTGACAGCAGATTTCCTACAGTTGGTGAACCTACATTTTATTCTTTTCCCCACCCACATTTTTTTTTGTAGTGCAGACTTTTTATTGGTGTCTATTAAGTTGTAGTAATGGGCTTTATTATGCCATTTCTGTAAATAAATATAATGTATTTGGATCATATTCACTTCTGTGTAAGTTAGTTTATTAATTGAATTCTTTCATAAGAAACTTTTCTGAGAAAGTAGATATAAAGGAACATACTTGTCTTTAAACATTTTTTTTTCTCTGTCAGATCATAATTCCTCATAGGAGAATCTTGGATTTGATTGATATCTTAATTCAGATATCAACAATTTATAGGCCAGGCATGATGGCTCATGCGTATAATCCTAATTACATGGGAAGCAGACATAGAAAGGATCATAGTTTGAGACTAGCCTAGGCAAAAAACTAATGAGAACTTCATCTATACAAACAAGTCAAGCATGGTGGTTCAAGACTGTTATTCTAGCTATTTAGAAGTTCCAAGGCTGGCCTTAGAGGGCAGGGAATGAGACCTTATTAAAAGAAAGAGAGAGAGATGGGAGGGCCCATGGTGTGTCCATGGTAGAGCATTTGTCTAAAAAGCAAAGGCCCTATGTTCAAAACTCACTACCACCAAAAAACAGTATGAATGTAAAGTGATATCTTCCCTGTGTCATGGGTAGTAACTTCAATATACATTAATATTTGTGTACTTGAACATATGAATAATCATGCTGAATTTATTAGAAATGTATGTATCTGAATTAACTTTGGTGTCAAATACAACTATGTCAAGTATAAAAATTAATTTTGATAAGCTGGTTCCAGTAGCTCACATCTGTAATCCTAGATAACTCAAGAGATTGAGATCTGAGGATCATGGTTTGAAGCCAGCCTGGGCAAAAGGGTCCATGAGACTCTTATTTCCAATTAACCACCCAAAAGCTGGAAGTGGATCTGTGGCTCAAGTAGTAGGGTACTAACCTTGAGCATAAAGGCTCTGGGATAGTGTCCAGGCCCTGAGTTCAAGCCCTAGCACCAGCTCAATAAAATAATAATTTTCATTTCATGAAGCCTATTTTTCTTCAGAGGTTTTCCTTCAGAATTTGAGTCAATAACACAGATAATTTTATTTTGTGTATCTCCACACAGCCAGTGATTTCCTTTAGTTGAAAAAACAGGGCAGTTTAGGCTATATGTGTGGGCACACATGCCTACACATACTACATGTACACACAAACACATATACATCACATAAACACCCACACTGCACAGACGTACACTCTTGTGGCATGATTCAATATTTATTATTTCATTTCACTATCATTTCTTACTGCTATGTGCTGTGATAATTTTGATAGAACCCTTTGGAAATACTGGTTTTTCCTCCATGGGATCTTGTATACTTTTGCATTAAGTAGATTGTATGTCAGTATTCTATTTAGGTTTGAAATTTTGTGTCTGAATGTGTGATTGAGATGTTAATAAAAACATTAAGTATAGTCATATCTTTTCCTAAAATATCATCTCAGGCTATAGAGCAGAAGCTATCATATTCAGATGACTGCTAAATCAAAAAACTATGTATACTAAAATTTCAGGCAAGAAAAAACTTTTAGAAAAATAACAAAAATAGCTCTGATCAGCTGGGCGCTGGTGGCTTACACCTATAATCTTAGCTACTCAGGAGGATGAGATCTGAGGATCATGATTCAAAGCCAGCCCAGGCAGGAAAGTTCATGAGACTTATCTCCAATGAACCACCAGAAAACCAGAAGTGGCGCTGTGGCTCAAGTGGTAGAGTGCTAGCCTTGAGCTGAAGAGCTCAGGGACAGTGTCTAGGCCCAGAGTTCAAGCCCCCCCCCCCCCACACACACAAAAATAGCTCTGACCTAATCTCTGAGACATCAATATATTTTTTCTTTCGGTGAGATGATTAGGAAACAGATTCCTCAGCTTTTTACCCTTCATCCTCCTCCAAATGGCCAACTATCAAGCAGTTCTTCCCACCGCCTCTCAGACACACTTTCAGATTTCTTTTAGGTTGAAAATCCTGATAAGAACAAAGATGGGAGATCTAACATGAAGCACAAGGCGCCCAGATCATCGGCTCATTGTAACAATTTCGGTGCACTTTGCTGTTCTGCTCACTTTTCAATGAAGTAATCTAATACACAAGTTATCTTTGCAAGATAGAAAATCTGATTTTTAGGTGGGAAGGAAAGGGATGGTAGGGAAAAAACAAAGGAGGGGGTAACAATGCTCGGTAAGAAATGGATTCATTACCTTGCTCATGTAACTGTAACTCTCTGTACAGTATCTTTACAATAAAAATATTAAAAAAACATCAAATACAAAATTATAAAAAAGAATTTTTTTGTATTTTTCCTGTTATTTTTTTCCTTGGAAAAAAATTGCTTGAAAAAAAATCTCTTCCAAAATTTTTTTCTCTTTACAAATTAAGTAGACAGTCAACAGATAAAAGAGGACAATATCCTGTATTCTCCTGAAGCAATACAACATTACAGAATTGTAATTGAAAACCTCTGTATACAATCAACATAAAAATCATTAGAGCCTGGATCCAGTGGCTTATGGCTGTAATCCTAGCTGCTCAGGAAGCTAAGATCTGAGGATCATGGTTTGAGCCAGCCTGGACAGAAAAGTCCATGAGATTCTTTCATCCAATAACCTACTCAGAAAAAGCCAGAAGTGGTGCTGTGGTTCAAGTGGTAGAGCACTAGCCTTGAGCACGAATTGGCTCAGGGACAGCGCCCAGGCCCAGCTCAAGGTGCAGGACTGGCAAAAAAAAATATTAGCATTTTTATATGTAGAACAGACAGAAAAATAAAGAAAAATAATTCATAATAATTTCCCAAAGCAACAAGGACATACAACAACTAAGGACATACAAGGCTTCTACCATAAAACATCAAAGAAATACATTCAAAAGCTATCAAAAGATGGAAAGAACTTACATATTCATGGAGTGGCAGATATAATATCTAGAAAAATGTCTAGACTATCAACAGTATATTCTAGGTCTTTAGAAGTTCCAAGTCTGGCCTGGTAGGAAAAATAAGACCTTATTAAAACAGAGAGAGAGAGAGAGAGAGAGAGAGAGAGAGAGGAAGGCTGATAGTATGACTCTAATGGTAGAGTACTTGACTAAAAAGCACAAGTCAAAACTCACAGTACCACCAAAAAACTGTATGAATGCAGTCTGACTGAATATAATCTCCGCTACAATCCCAATGTTATTCTCTAAAATAGAAAAATCAATCAAAACACTCATCTACATGCATAAATA